TTTATTTTTAGTTTAATAATATAATTTTTTATAAATATAATAATCAAACATTCTGTTAAAACTCAATGATTATTATATTTTAGATTTTATGTGTTTAAAATGAATGTTTATCCTATATTAGATTATGTTTATCTGCAGTTGATTACACGAATTTAAAAATGAAGCTTTAATAAGTTGTACTTACGCAAAATTAGTTGTAGTCTTAAACTTTAAGTAATATATATGCATTAATAAACAATACTTCATACTTAAAAAATGATTTTTAATAGTTTTTGTCAAATGTTTTATAATATATTGTTATTATATTCTTATGTTTATAAGTCGACTAAAATCGACCCCATCAAAAACCGGTCGGTGGTTACACAGTGGAGGTCCGAAAAAAAGATGATAATTCATATTCAGTAACAAATAAATTTTTTTTCCTGGTTCATAACTGTTTTATTTAAATTTTATAAATAATTAATTTATCACACGCAACTATGAAATATATATTATTGGAATGATTATATACTTCTAATACGATCATTTAGGACGACATTCGTCTCGTTCGACTAACTACATGTAAAATATCTGAATCTGGTCTTTTTTTAAATAAATCAGTTAAAAATTGTTGGAGCATTTTCAAAAGATTCTTCAAAATACAAAATACTGAGTTATGTGAGATTTTAGAAAAGTTTTTTTTTCTCTCGAACAGATTTTCAAAACCTTTAAAAACAACGAAAAAAATTAAGAGAGAGAAAGAGTGTTAAAAAAGTAGGAGAGAGTTGATGCTTCAACCGGTTATCTCAGTACTTAAATGTTTAAAACTTTACATCTTAGGTACCAAAATAAAAGTGTTAGAAGTACGTTACCCAAAATAAGAATCAAGTTAAATTACGTTTTTTTTTCCATGTAATTTACCCTTTTCTATAATTATATTCCCATTAATAAGAAACATTGAAATTAAATGTTTAAAAGCGAAAAATAATATTTTATCAAATGTATGTAATATTTTAATAATATAATTAAATCTGTAATCTCTAAAATAAGAAACTGTTATAAATTTAATATAATATTATTTTTAGATATTTTAAATTTTGATTTTTTTATTTTAATTTATTTTTTAAAAATCTGTTTGAAATGTTCGTATTCTTACTTCTTATTTTAATTAAAGATGGGCTTGTTTATATTGGGCTTTTTTGTGTAATGGGCTTGTTTATTTTCACTGAATTTGGGCTTTTCCACATACTTTTGGATTCTATTTGGCCCAATATGTAGTGGTCCATAAAGCGATTAAATGTACACAATTTTTACACATAAATATATTAATGAAAAAGGTGTTAAAAGTAATTTTTTAAATACTTTTTTTTTCTGATTATTTTATTAAAACAAGTGGATTGCACAAGTTGTTTAAAATAACCGGTGGACCGTTCAAATCAGTCGAACCAAGTTAACCCAAAATACCGTTTTTAGCGGTTTGAGTGGTCTGGTGGTTTGGTCCCATTTGAAAAATAGCTAAACCGCTCGGCCCGGTCTGTTCTGCTGTTTAAACGTTTTTTGAGCGGTCTGAACTGAATCGACCATCAAAAAATAAACATATATTAATTATATTTAATTTTCAAGTTATAAGCTCACCTTTATGGCATGATTAAAAACTTCGTCCAAGACATTATGTTTTTCAGTTTAAAGCCCAAATGAGGCCAAACCGTCTAAATCAATCAAATCCGACCTTGTTTTTGTGCTCCAGGTTGACCGGTTTGGTCACTTGCTGCCGAACTGTTCGACTTGGAGATTTTTCTAAACCGCCATTGTGGTTTGGTATGTGTTTTGGGGGTTAAGTCGCCCACGTTGGACCACACGAACACCCTTAATTCTATTTAAAGTGTTATAAGTTTATATGACGTTTTTGTGGATCGTAACATGTTTTTTAGTACATTTTTGTAAAAAAAAAAACGTCATAACAGCTATCTTACAGAAGACTATTTGAAAAAATGTCTTACAAAAACAAGTGTTCTATATGACAGTTGACTTGACGCTTTATATTGAAAATGTCGTAAAAAACTTGTTAAACGTCAAAAAACGTAATATAAACCTATTACAATGCTTTTAGATAAAACACATTATTTTTTGGTTATATAAATTAGTTTATATACAACAGTTTATTAGAGCGTATAGAAATTAGTAGTGTCCTATAAATCTTTATTATAGAGAATAAAGTAATGTGTATTTAATGCGACAACAAAATTGGTTTTATAGAACGTTTAACTGTCTTAAAGCGTCATATTTAAAAGCGTTACAATAGGTTTATAAGACGTTTTAACAAAAACTAATAAAACACTTTTAAAATAAAGTGTTATATTAGCTATTTTTATATAATTTTTTTTAAAATGTCCTATAAAACCATCTTTTTATAGGACACTTTTTCAAATAGTGTCGTATAAAATAGTTAATAAGTTTTGGATATCTTTTTATAAAACCATCTTTTTATAGGACACTTTTTATAGAGCATTTTTGGATATCTTAACAAGTTTTGGGACGCTTTTAATACAAAATGTCACATTAACTATTTTATCAAAAGTGTCCTATAAACCTATCTTTTTATACGACGTTTGTGTTTATAAGACATTTTTTCAAATATTGTTCTATAAAATGTTAATATGACATTTTTTTTCTTCATAAAAATGTCATAACAAACTTCTACGACGCCCGAAGGCATCCTTACTTATTACAACGTCTTTAAATAAGACGTTTTACTTTTTGGTCCTCTAAATTATATCTTATAAAGTGGTTTAGTAGGACACTTATTTACTGGTAGTGTCTTATACGTCCAATTTTATTATACTACAGTGAGATTTGTTATTCATTCACTACAACAAAACCGGGTTTATAGAACACTCTTAATTTCTAAGCGTTCTAATAGACCTCTTTATAAGACTTAGTTTATAAGACTAAAAAAACAAAGTGTCCTATTTAAAGACGTTGTAATAAGTTTATATGACGTTTTTTTGATGCCGTAATAAGTTTTTTAGGACACTTTTAATATAAAACGTCTCATTAGCAACTTTATAGGACATTATTTGAAAAACTGTCCTATAAAAACAAATGTCCTATAAAAAATGAGTTTATAGGACACTTCCTCAAAAGTGTCCTATAAAGTTGCTAATGCAACACTTTATATTAAAAATGTCCTAAAAAACTTGTTAACACTCCCAAAAGCGTCATATAAACTTATTACAACACCTTTAGATAAGACACTTTATATTTTGGTCGTATAAATTAAGTTCTATAAAACGGTCTATTGGGACACTTAAAGATTGAGGGTGTCCTATAAACTCAATTTTGTTGTAGTGATTAGCTTAATTAATGAAGTTGATTATAGACTGAACGATAAATAAACCATTGATCAAATTGATAGAATTTCATTCGACACTTGAGACGCTAGCTAGCAATCTTCTTTTGGCAGAGTCGTTCCAATTTTCTCGAAGACCTTGTTACACTTGTAACAAGAATATAGATTAACGAAACAAATAATTAATAAAACAATTTTTTTAAATATATATATATATATATATATATAATATCATAAGTTTTACAAAATAAATATCTTAGAAAATGACAATATAACATTAACATATGATATTCACTTAGACAGTTACATTCTTCTAACAGTATTTTTCAAAAATTAGAATCGAGAATCATCAAATCAACAAAACCAGTAAAAACCCATAATATATTATAACCGGTACAAAAACAGTAACAAAAATACAAACACCATTAGACGCCTTTTTTTTTAGAGTCGATTTAGAGGGATCATGAATCAGTTCACATATGAATATTCACAATATTTTCTTTAATCGCGCGTAATGAACGATAAGCACCCACAACTTGCATACATCTTCTTGTAGAAACCGAAAAATAACAACATCGAAGAAACTAATTAATTTTCAATTAAATTACGACATCGTGATTGAAAGTTGCGTATATCGTTCGGTCCTTTTCGACAAGCATTCCCATAAGAACATGTACTTTGTGACAAAATTAGAAATGACATGTACCCACTTCGATTTCAGGTATACCAGAAACTTTGTTCCCTACATTCATATGTTTGATGCCTAACTTCACTCCTATACCATTTGACACATGTCTAACCATATCATCCATTTTCTTGATCCATTTTCTTGATTTTCTTGATACAAATCAAAGGATTAACAAGAACAAAACCCTAATTAATCCAAACCCGTTTGAGTTCTTGATATTTTAAGTATGTTTTCAAGCCCTAATTACTCGATGCGATCTCTAATGGCTTCAATTGAAAGATCGGGTCGATGCTAAATGTTGGGCATGATCCAAAACGCATTTGATTTTAAGCCATTAGCATCTTTATCGGTTAGGTAAATTCATTTGTCGTTAATCCCATCTTTCCTAAATTGGAAAGATGAACATGCAAAAAACTTACGTTATCTTGCTTTCTTTATGCCATTTTCGTGTGTACGTTTTTTTACAATCTTCAACTTTCACATTGTCGATAAGCTTCAGATTCAGTCGATTTTTTGTCCTTAAAACGTCAGTTTGAATCAACGTATGGACATCACTTGATCATATATGGTGTTTACTCAGCCGATTGATGAAACAGCTAGATTCGTGATTACGGAACTTAATTACGATCAATCGAAAAACCCACTTGAATTAGGGTTTTATTTTTACCAAAGAAGCTTTATGTGAAGAAGATAGGTCAAAACCTAAAAGATTTTTTGGAAACGACAAACAATTTAACCTAATTTTACATTAACTCACCCAACTCTCATTTACACACACTAAAAGACAAAACCACAACCATACATACTAGCAGACAAACCAAAAAACACACATATATAACACACACACACTCACACACACACACACACACACACATTGTTGTATAAATAGGGGGTGTGTTTCTTGAGCCAAGTGAGAAGAAGGTGTTTTGGTAGCTATGGAGTTCTTGGTTTCACTCACAGTAGGATTCCATTGATGGTCAATCTTTATGATAAGTAAGGTGAAGAAGAAGAAGATGGCCATGAATCATCACTGCTGCAAACGACTTCAGTTTCCACCACCCTTCTATGGAAGTTCCGGTGGCAGCCACAGGCGGCGCAGGTAAGCGAAGCCTCCGTCTCCTCCTCCTCCTGATCACCGGCGGCCGCCATGAACTCCCGACACCCATCGACGGCATACCCACCAATGTTGGCTGCATGGTTTCTTTGACACTCACCATATCTCACATGGGTTCTCATCGTGTTCGAGGAATTCGCCGAATCCATCGACGGCGGCGGCGGCGGTGGCAGTGGCGGTGGCGGTGGTTCTTCCCTTTTCAACACCACTCTTCTTTTGGTCATTTCTTCAGAGAAATGATATGATGGTAGTCTTCTTTGGTTCTTAACAAAATCCTAACCCTAAAAGGGATTTATTTATAGGCTGTAAAGCATTTCACTAACCCTGAGAATAATTTCGTTTAATTACACTTTTCACCCTTGTTGTTTGATTCAATTGCCAATATTAACCTTACTGTTTACACTAATCACAATTAGACCTTTGAGTTTTTGTGAAGATTCTTGGCCAAGCACTGTTGTAGTTCTATATAAGTCTTGGCTTGCATGTGTGGTTGTGTACTTCCACATGTATGTGATATCTAGCTATATATTCTCACATGTTTGATGTTTCTTAAATTTACCTTTTTTCCCCTTCTTCAAAAATCTTTTTTCTTTTTTGGTCCTCAAAGTACGTTAGATACGTAATTTCTAACCTGTTTTTACGATTTCAGAACTTTTAGTCATGTTTTGAGAAATATACGATGATTCGACCGATGGTAATGACAAAAGCATACCCGTTGGACATGGTACTTCAAATTGTTAAGCTGGGACATACTGTTCAAGAAAATACCATACATGCTTTAGAAACAGAAGAAGTCTGCCTACTCGATCTGGTCTTGCTTCCAGACGTTTTCAAAGAAGTTTTCGATAAAGGATCATTAATTAACAGACGTATAAAGACAAGGGATCGTAAGTGAAAGTATTGAAATTTTTCGTTTGTAGGGTAATAATGTTATAGTTAAGTGACAAAACACCTCTAGAGTGGTCCAATTAGGAATTGATTAAGCATGGAATAAAAGCGATTCCTTCTTTATTAAGAAAAAACACAGTCATTACCGACGTTCCATTTCTTTTTCGTCATAGAATCGATAAAAAAAACTGTAAGATAATATAGCACCCGACAAATTCAAGAAAAATATCATCATTATATACAAACGTATAGTATGATCATTTAATCAAGAATATATGTACGAACTGAAAAGACCCGTGAACGTTAATTGACTATATGCTAAAAAGGGTTAATGAATTAATTCAGTGAATCAAATACAATGGATTTGACATTAGGGTTCTATCTTCAATGAATCAAATGAATTAATGTTGATGGGAATTGATTATGGTTTTCCTCAAATTGATTAATGACAAATTAAAGGGTAAATGGGTAATCTCACTTTTTTAAGCAAATGAAATTGACAATGAATAAAGATTGAAATAATGGATATCAAATTTGTGCTATTCACATGTGATTGTGGTATGTATGTTTACACTTTTAAAACACTGTTATCAAATCCTGTTAAAAAAATATTCGAATATATTAAATATAACTTTAACTTAATTATTGAACGGGATACAGTTGAAAAAATATCTTACTTTTAAGTTTGAATTATCAGTTACAAACGTTCTACAGGTTTTTGAAACACGAACTAGCTAATTTCGGTATTTTGAGTTTTGTTGTTTCCAACCCGTGCCTCTTAGGCTTAACAAGATGGGGTTCGAATGAAAATGGATGCCTGGTCGAAGGTCCAGTACAGTAGGTAGCAGGCGTGTTCGTTTTGGCTCCCGAGCGAGAATGAGAGAAAGGTGATGCACCATCTTTGTTGATAAACGAGCTAAAAGCTACATTTGATATAGCTAGGTTGGTATGTGTTTTTTTGACTAACAGAACAGGTTGTAAGTACACGTCTCATATGCTTGTATAACACGTAACGTTTTCTCTTGCATTTGGTTTTTGGTTTTTCGTTTGCATAACTACAACATGTATTGAAAATATCTGATTATTCTTTTAGCAACTAAATATTTGTACTGCTGTCTAAATGGACTTGTTTAGATGGTTGAACGTATATGCAAAGAAAAAGGTCAGAAGTTTGATTGATATACAAACTCTGTTCAATAAATTATCACAAACACATTCAATGAACAGAATAAACGATGAAGTTTCATAAAAGCTACAGTTCTTTTAGGTCCTAAACAGAATATAAACATCAAATCATATGGCAACAAATTGTGGTTTTTCTTTATTACATAAAAACCGTTTTTGCTAGATGCCAGATGGTTTTTTTCGAGCAAACCGACTGACAGAAGTGAAGTTTTACTAGTCGGTTGGAGATGCTTCTAGAATACGTTTATTTTGCATTCTTTATATGGTAAAATAGTTATACGGGTTGCTGAGTTTTTTTATTCCTTCTATTAAGAGATGTATGAAATAAGATGACTGAATTTAAACAACAATCGTTAGATACATAATAACTTACCCAACTCGATTGTTTCAGCAATCTAAAAATTAAGTAACAAACAACCATCGTTCAGTGATCGAAAATAAATCATTGAACTATTTAAGTAAAAAAAAACGAGCACTTTATGTTTTGACTTTTTGACCCGATAATCCAAATAATGACTCTTCTATAACTTCTCCGTTTTTGAAGACCATGATTTCTTAAAACCAAAACCCATAAATAAACTTTGAAGAAAAAACTGCTACAAATTTTCTGTTTTTCTCTATTTTTTTTTATAATTATAACTGTTGTTTTTCAAATGTTTATGGTTCGAACTCATGCTCTGTCAAAATTCTTGTTACTATGAATTACGGATGTTCATTTGCGATGACTCCAAGTCGTTCATGGTTGTACGAGGATTGATTGGTGCATGTAAGCTGACCTAGAAAACATAAATTTTAAATATTAAATTTTCATAAAAATACAGATTAGAATGCATAACAAATAAATGTAATGCATTTGTTTATATAAATAAAACTACTGTTTTCGTGAGACGTAAAAGATATAATTTTTACATTTGAAACTTTACAACAAAATATTATGAAGGTAAAAAAAAACGAACCTTCACGTTAAAAACATAAAGTTTGAGGTGTAAAAATTATATATTAAATTTTAATAATAAATAAAAAAGTTCGTTTAGAATAATAATCGAAAAATAAATAAAAGGTGGAAAGTTTGACCGTGAGAAATAGCATGAAGAAAGTCAAACATAAAAAACGCGCAAACAATTAATAAAGCATTTATGGTGGGCGTGGATTGTGTCTCCATCACCTTATCATCCTATTTTCATAAATTTATTTTATAATTAATTATTTAATTTACTTTATATTCGTTTTTTTTTTAATTTTATAATTAATTATTTAATTTATTTTATATTCTAATTTTATATATTTATTATTTTAATACAAATAATCATATATTACTAAAATACATAAAAAAACACATTTCTTTCTGTTTTCAAAAAATATACCGTCGTAATTGTCTCGTTAATACGTTTAAAATAAAATCAGTATTGAATATTTTTGGATTTAACTGTATATTATTAAATATTTTTAACACTTACGAATTATTTTTAGCACTTATATTTTAATAATATACTAGAAGGGGACTCACGCAATACAGCGAGATACATCTCAACTTTGATGTTTCGTTTCTTTCTTCGATGTTACAATACAGTTTTATGTGGTTTTGAAAAAATGACAATGTTTTTACTTTTGCATAAGATATAAGTACGAAGATATCATAAGAATTTGAAAAATATATTGATATTAGTACCAAACTAACTATTTAAAATTTCTACTTTTTTATGTAAATTAATTTAATTTTTCTTATTATAATTTGATTTCGGTTTAATAACGATGTTATTTAATTTAGGTTTAATAATATAATTTTTTATAAATATAATAATTAAGTATTATTTTAGAACTCAATAATTATCCTAATTTTATGTTAGATATTTTATATTTAAAATGAGATGTTTATCCTATATTATATCATGTTTATCTGTAGTTAGTTACACGAATTCAAAAATAAAGTTTTAATAAGTGTACTTATGCACAATTTACTTGTAATCTTGAATTTTAAGTATTATGCATCAATAAACAGTACTTTGTGCATAAAAAATGATTTTTTAAAGTTTTTATCAAATGTTTTATAATAAAGAATTGGTAATAAAAAATAGTAGGTTTGAATAAAGGAAACAATTCATTAAGTACACATCTTCTATGGTTATGAATTGAAGAGTTATTGATATTGATGTGTATAATATTGTATTTGTAGGTATAATACATTCATGGGGTGCTTCAATTCAAACCAATTTTCAACATGTATTGCTATTTACTATTCAATTACCTCTAATATATATACATATGTATATATATATATATATATATATATATATATATATATTAGAACGATATTCGTGCAATGTAGCAAGATACATCTCGATTTTAATGTTTTGTTTTATTTATGTTGTCTTAGTCGATTTTATAATACGGTTTTATGTGGTTTTGAGAAAATGATAATGTTTTTATTTTTGAATAAAATATAGATATGAAGATATCATAAAAAATTGAAAAAAAAAATATTGATATTAGTAGAAAACTAAAGATTTAAAATTCTCTTTTTTTGTGTAATTTTTAATTCATTTTTTGTTTAATAACATAATTTTTTATTAAAAAGATAATTAAATATTTTGTTAAAATTTGATAATTATTCTAATTATATTTTAGATTTTTTATATTTAAAATGTAATGTTTATTCTCTATTGATTGTGTTTATCTGTAGTTATTACACAAATTCAAACATAGGGCTTTAATAAATTGTACTTATTACAAAAATTCAAACATAGAGCTTTAATAAATTGTAGTTACACACAATTTACTTGTAATCTTGAATTGTAAGTAATATGCATCAATAAACAATATTTAATATTTTTGTCAATTTTTTTTAATAATATAATATAGATATGGCTCATTAAAAGGAAAAATGATTAGTTTGTGGTAAGCGTGAGATCCAATATGAACAACTCATTTGAGATAGTTAAGGAAATTTCTCAAATAAGCTAAAATTGAAATATAGTAATTCTATTTTTTTAACAACTAATCAAAATATTTAAATAATATATTTTGGAGAAAATATTTAATTAAAACTCATTAACTAGTACTAGAAGAGTACTTGTGCAATGCAGCGATACACATCTCAATTTTTATGTTCTATTTTATTATTTGCCTTTGTCGATTTTATAATACGATTTTATGTGTTTTTAAGAAAAACAACAATGGTTTTATTCTTGAATGAAATATAAATTTGAAGATATCATAAAAACTTGAAAAAAAAAAATCAATGTTAATATCAAATCAACTATTTAAAAGTTCTCAATTTTTATTACATTTCTTTAATTTATTTATTTTATTATAATTTAATTTAAGTTTAATAACGGATGATTTAATTTTGGTTTAATAATATAACATTTTATAAAGAAAATAATTAAGTATTCTGTTAGAACTCAATGATTATCCTAATTATATTTTAGATTTTTTATATTTAAAATRARATGTTTATCHTRTATTTGATTATGTTTATCTRCARTTAGTTACACGAATTCAGATATGGAGCTTTAATAAGTTGTGCTTACGCACAATCTACTTGYAATTTTGAGTTTTAAGTAATATGCATTAATAAACATTACTTTACGCATAAAAAGTGGTTTTTAAGATTTTTTATCAAATGCTTTATAATATAGTATAAATATCAATTATCTAATATACATCATATTTTAAAGACATTTGTGAATCAAAATGTATCATAGTGAAAATGTTCATAATGTTCACGTGTATCACAATGTATTTTCTTTGGTTTATGAAATGTATTATAGTGTGCATTTTCGTTTTTTTCATTGTTTTACAAAGGGTATCACATTGTGCATCTTGTATGTATATCTGGGTATCCCAGTGAATATCGTTTGTATGTGTTACAGTGTGTATCTTGTGTTCACATAAGGTTCATTGGAATAAGATTCGACAAATAAGATTCGCCGGATAAAATAAAAGGAGAGATGAGAGAGAATATTTATAGAATCCCTAAAATGCCTTTGATTAATATTTTAAGTTAAAAATTACCAAAATTATTAATTTCTATTTAACTTTTGATTTGTGGTTGAGATTGGATCTCACCGTTATCACAAACAAAACAATTCTCATATGATTAAGCTATATATGTATGGTTTTTATTTGAGAATCCATAAAATTCTAATAATGCATCATGTGCTGTTTTACATTATTATTTTTTCATATATGGCTTGAATTTAGTGTATTGATTAACATACACACACAGACACAGACACACACACACACATATATATATATATATATATAGAGTTTGTTTCAAATGCAACTCATTGCATTTGTACAACCAATGCAACCCAATAAGTTGAAATATTTATAAAAATGATAAGAGTTCATTTATTATGATTTAAATATTTATGGAACATGAATACGGTTCATTAATTAGGAAACAAATAAAACTTCTATGAAATTACATATTCATCAAATTAAATGCACGGTTGAGATTGAGTTGTATTGGTTGTACAAATGTAATGTGTTATATAATAACCCACCTATATATATATATATATATATATATATATATATATATATATATATAACACATGAATATAATTAAATTAATTTTACATTGTAAAACAAATATATGTTAATCAATAAATTAAATTATAGTTTTAAATGAAAAAAAAATCATGTGTAACCAACCAATAAAAATGACTATTTTAATTAATTTCTCTGTTTTATATAATACTAGTTGTGTACCCGCGTAATGCGGCGGAAGCCATGAATTTTAACGATTTTGAAGTTTCACTGGTTTTATAAGACAAGATTTAACGATGATATATGTTACACTTGATCTTTACATATTAATACAGTTTGAATAAATAAGAGTTATGGTTCCAATTACAGACTATCGATGAAAAAATTTGTATGACAGTTTAAAATCCAATATATTTAAAATTCAACATATTAAAACGACTCCACAAATGTGTTCGATTTACACCAAGAGCAAAGAACCAAAAAATTTGAGTTTTAAGATAAACACTCAAAACCAATAAAGAAAACTACAAATTTGACAAATCATAAGTTATGAAAAGACCAAAAAAGATGGGTTTTAAAATGAAATTTCAACTGTTTACTCTCTTTCTTGTCTAGAAGCTCAGATTAAAGTTGAATTAATACATGTATATATATATTTAAAAAAAACCTAATAACATATTATATAGTGCAATTTGGACAGACTAATCCCAAAATGTATAGCATATTTATAAATAAATAACTATAAAAGTATAAATCGTAAACGTTAAAAATATTTTTTCACAGTATATATAATATATAATAATATAATTAAGTCAAAAATTATTCAATATTGGACTCATTTCGAAGGTATTAACGAGACGATTATAATAGTGTAACTTGTTAAAATAAAAATGTATTTTTTAAACATGTTTTATTTGATATACGATTATGCATGTTAATTTGATAAACGTTTAAAATGAAACATTTAAAAGTAAAGGATGTAAAGTAATTAATTAACTAATTATAGGTATATAAAGTGTAAATTTAAAATTATAATTTTAAAAAAAAATCGGGTGCATGTGAGAGGTAAATATATGTGAGGGGTGAGTGTATGTGAGGAGAGAAATGACTGAAAAAGTGAAAAAATGAAAAGGGTATCTTGGTCATTTAAAATTTTAAGACTTTAAGACTCTTGATGAATTTGGTTAATAAGATAGTATATATATAGATAATTAATGTTAAAACCTCTAAAATTAAAAAGCTGTTAGAATTGAATTGAATTTTTCTTTGTAGGTTTTTACTTTTTTGTCTATTTTAGACCAGTTATGAATAACTATTGTAGATGTTGTTCACAACATTAATTATATTATTAAAAAATTTATTACATTTAATATAATATCATTTCTTTCTAATAAATATTTAATTTAAATAATATTTATCGGTGAAATTTATAAAAAAAATCATTTCCTCATAAACAATTATACTAAAAAAGTTGTTTTCCAAATTTGAAATTTTATATAATTTCTTTTATAATTTATTCGTTTTAAACAACATGTTCGAGTTAAATTAATAAAAGATTACCATAAAAGATTACAACTTTTACTTATCTAATTTAAAAGAAAAGCTAAATTGCATGATTTTATAGCATACTTTAACTTGATTTCTATTTTAGGTAACGTACTTTGAAAACTTTTATTTTGGTACATAAGATGTAAAGTTTTAAATACATAAATATCTGGGTAATCAGTTAAAGACTAATTTTAGATTAAAAAAATTCCATATCACTAACCACGTCAGTAAATAATACTGAGTCAGATACCACATCAACACGATAACCGGTTAATGGTTCTACCGGTTATCCGGTTACTTAAATATTTAAAACTTTACATATTAGATATCAAAATAAAAGTTTTGAAAATGCGTTATATAAAACATAAATCAAGTTAAAGTACGTTACATTTTCATGCAATTTAAGGGAGATGTTATAATTTATAACAATTATTCTATTTTTAAATATTAAATAAATAATCATCTAAGATCATTAATGGTTGTTATGAATGGTAATTTATTTAATTCAATAATAATTATATTAAATATAAATAATAATAATTTATTTATTTGAAAATAATTTTTTTTTTAAATAAATAAATATTTATAGATTTGAAAACATTTATTAGTTGTGTTTCTTATTGGCGGCCATTCTCCCCTCCACATTCATTCCTTCCTCAAAATTTCCCAATTTCCAACACCTTCTTTGACTCCACCACCATAACCATCGCCATTCGAGCTCCACAAACCCAACCCGACCCGACCAGTGACCTTTCCACCATCCCCAATTCGCCATTTCATGAACCGAGTCAAGTTCGCTGCCACGTACCCATCTCTTCCCCTTGTAATTTTGCTTTATTTTCTCCCCAAATTAGGTCAGACTTCAACCTCTTTTTCAAATCGAAACCGCCTCTTTTTGATTCTTCACACACTCATCGTTTTCAATTTCCTTTTTACGGGTGATTAGTCCATTCAATTTGTTTTTCGTCAATGGTGATTGTCATGAATTTTACGAACCCCTCTTTTTGTTGCTGACATGTCTCTGTTTACTCTGTTTTTCCTTGCTTCAAATGGAATTCATCGGTTTATGATTAAATTGGGACAACCCTTTTTTCAGAAATTTGAATTACCCATTTCGATTTCGATAGTATGGATTCAGTTCTTGAGTTCTTATACCCGAAATTGATTCTTTTCGTGTTGGGTTTTTGGTCCTCTGTCTCCACCTATTTGCTTCAATTGCTACGTTATTTCACAAGGTATATAAGAAAATAACATGTTTTACTTCGTTAGTTTATAACCAAAAGAATCTGTTTCTCAATATATTAATTTTTTGAAGTATGATTTTTGACACACAGGTTTATAAGAAATGGCAGTTCTTCTTCAAAGGGGGTATTAAATGATTCTAGGGTTGGATTAATGGAAGCCATTGAAGGGAGTTCAAAGGTAACTGAATCAGAAATGGAGTTTGAAGAGAACCCATGTTTTTTTTCAGAGTTTTTAAGTATGGAAAATGATGGGGTTGAAGAAGATGAAACCCCTGAGTTTTCGTTTACCTTTAAATTTCCAACTTTTGAAGAGTTTAGTAAAACCCAGAAAGATTTCTCTCATTTGCTTGATTTGGAGAACAGTTTTAGTGAATTTATCAACCCACTTGAGGTTTCTCATGATTTGGATGAAGTTGAATCGAATTCGAATAATGGGTTTTTCTTAGATGATGATCAGAAAAAAGATGATTTTGAAGATCAAGAAGAAGAAGAAGGTGTTCATGAGGCTTCCCATGATTTGGATGAAGTTGAATCGAATTCGAATAATGGGTTTTTCTTAGATGATGATCAGAAAAAAGATGATTTTGAAGATCAAGAAGAAGAAGAAGGTGTTCATGAGGCTTCCCATGATTTGGATGAAGTTGAATCGAATTCGAATAATGGGTTTTTGTTAGATGAGCAGAAAGGGGATGATTTTGAAGCTCAAGAAGAAGGAGATGGTGTTCATGAGCAGATGATGGTTGAAACTCCAAATGAGAACAAGATTGGAGAAGGAACAGAAGAAATCGATACATTTATCGTAGAGAAATTGCAAAAAGTTCACCATGAAAGTTTTCAATCATCTTCTGATTCAGATACAGATTCAGTTAGTTCAAATAATCTTCATCTTGATGATGGGTTTTTATCAGATGGAGACTTCGAACTAGAATCTATCAAAAAAGATCAAGACGAGTGTCCAAAACCCGATTTCTTATCCGAGAAAGATTTTGGTGGGAAATCAAGAAACATAATGGAACCAGAAGTATCGAATGTGGTGGACACCGACAAGAAGAATTTATCAAATGATACAACAAACAAGTTGGAATCTTTATGGGAACATCAAGAACTTATAGAACAGTTGAAGATGGAGATCAAGAAGGTTAGAGCCACCGGACTACCAACAATCTTGGAAGAACCGGGATCACCTCCAAAGATAATGGAGGAGTTGAAGCCATGGAAGATCGAAGAAGTGTACCAAAGTGGCGGAGGGACGATGGGTGAAGTTCACAAGTTCTACAAAAGCTATAGAGAGAGGATGCGCAAATTCGACATCTTCAATTACCAGAAAATGTATGCCATAGGTACAAAAATGGATCTTTCTCTTCTATTTACTTCCCTAATATACCATTACTTGCTAATTTGATGCCATTTTAGTTAGTGTCTATGAGAAGTTGAGTTCAAGTACAAGAGGGTATGCATATGACTCATTTTCTTGTTTCTTGAGAACAGAGTGACATTCTTTTGTTAAACAGTGACATTTTCAAACCTGTGAAAAGGTCATGGATTAGGAAAAACTCTGTCAAAATTCGTTTAACCGAAGGACCCTCTGTCTTTGATGATAAATAAGTGGAGAGGAAATGAAAGGGGAAAGAAAGAGGGACCCATTTGATATGGTTAGGTGGGGATTTTAAGAGAAACACAAAAAGCATGAAACTTTTTAGGTTGTAAGGTTTAAAAATGATGACTTAATGAATAGGTATATGCATCTTATTGGAAGGAGTTGGGTATTGTTTCATTAAGCTATGATGTGAAAAACTTTAGGTGGTCAACTTAATGGAAAAGGGAAATCAAGCAAACAACATACAAAACAATTACATAACATGAAAAGATCTCAAAACCCTAAACTCTAAATCTTGATATATATATGATTTTTTTTATTAACCTGGATATCCAACTCGCTATGCGAGCCGACTAATTTCAGAGAGACCATCTGCTTTGCAAATAGCCCGGAGTCACCGCATTTGAACCTCCGTGGTCACAAGGGGATTTTGCTTCCTTGGATTTTAACTGGGGCCTCCTGGTACTTTTGACATTTGGAGCCAAACTCAAACTAATCAAGCACCACTCTTATATATATATATATATATATATATATATGATTGTTCCAAGAAGTATGTTTCTAGAAATGAGAGCATCTTTGAATTGAATACTGCTAAATATGGGTCACAAAGGGCATGTTCCACCATTAGATTAATCATTAATGAGGTGGGGGACAAGACAGTATACAGTCAATAGCACTACATATATTTATGCATTCTTGATGGATTTACACTCATGGAGGGATGTTTTTAACTCTTATTTGAAATAATATCGTATAAAAAGACTAATAAGATGTTTTGTTCAGAAGTGTCTTAAAAAAACTGGGAGTCTTATCGACTTATTGCACCAGTTGTTTGGTCTTGTAAATTTAAAGCTTATGAAGCTGCCTATTAGGATGTTTAAACATATTTGGCGTTCTATAAAGCCGATTTTGTTGTACTGATGCTGAGAATGTTTGTCAGTTATTTGAAATCTCGTTATAGGTTTAATTTTTCGGCAAATTCATAGGAACATCGATTATTCTACCAACTAAACAAGATTTTTCTGGATCTTTCAAAATGCCATCTAAGAGGCTATTTGGTTGGTTTTTCATAAAATCCTGTATGGATAAAGTTGTTTGTGTGAATTAACCTGTCTGTATGGGTTCGGAAAGTTTTTTCATAGATGAAAGGTGCGTGTTCTTTATAATTGGGAGGGACAAAAGAAACTTGACTTTCTGCATAGAGCTCCCTTCTAGAAGCTTACTGAATAAGCCACTTTTTATATCACTAAGTCACTACCAAACAGTCATGTATAGCTCATCAAATAAGTTGCGAGTCTCGTTAAACTCATTAAGCTGCTTAAAAACATGTAAAGTAAATTCTAGTAATGGGTTTGTAAATTTCTTGATAAAAAGGATTGCTTTTTTGTGTTGTTATTGTCAAGATTACTACTTTTTGATTATTATAATTGCTTTCTTTAATATTACTCATTAGGGATCCCACAAAATCTTGTCTGGTACCCTGATTGTTGTAGGTCTGTTCAGACACTTTACCTAAAAGGTTCTATGAATATCGGGCCTTTTGACTATTTTTTTGCTTAATGAAAGTGAAAATGGTGGCTGTCTAAAAAAGCCCGATCGGGCCCATCTTTTTACCAAAGGCCCAATCTTGAAAAAGCCCTGTCGGGCCTATTTTTACACAAAAAGATCGGGGGTCTGAAAAGGCTCCAAAGCTTTTTTTGCTTACAGAAAACGGCCCTGGTCTAAAAAAGCCCGATTGGGCCTGTTTTCACACCGAAAGAAAAACGCCCTATCGGGCCTATTTTCACCCAAAAAGATCGGGCCTGAAAAAACTCTGATCTTTTTTCTCGGCACAAAAAAAGCTCAATTGGGATCCGATAACGTCTACATGCCTTTGGGACACCGTCATATTCCTTCACCTTGATGACCATGGGACTGATTGTTTTTTTTTATTAAACCTTGTATGAAGTAAGCTGTCTGTATGGATTAAGCTAATTTAATATTTGTTTGTTGTGTTGAATATACGGTTTGAATGATAGAAATGACTATTTTACCCTTTAGACTTATTAATCTCTTATTCAATATAATCTACAGGTTTCTTACAGCTAAAAGATCCTCTTCAATCAGCTTCGAGCTCAAAGTCTTCGGTTTCTGAAATCACGACACTTCTTAGCCAAAGTTTCGCAACCCCGAAAGGTAAGAAGCATGAAAACGACCCTACGGTTAAGTTCATCAAAGAACTACAGAGTGATTTGGAAGTCGTGTATGTCGGCCAAATGTGTCTTTCTTGGGAAATTCTACATTGGCAATATGAAAAAGCGTTGGATATATGGGAATCAGACCCACGTGGGGTCCGGCGATTTAATGATATTGCCGGAGAATTTCAACAGTTTCAAGTGTTGATGCAAAGATTTATCGAAGATGAACCTTTTCAAGATCCGAGAATCCAGAATTACGTCAAGAATCGCTGCATTTTCCGTAATCTTTTACAGGTTCCGGTTATTAGAGGTGAGAACAAGATGTTTAAATGTCTTAATAAACTGCTTTATCGGTTTTATAAGACGTCAAAGATGTCTAAATGTCCTAATAGACTGCTTCACAAGGCCTTCTTTTTATATGACACTTTTTCAAATAATGTCGTATAAAAAGACTAATATGACACTTTATTTCAAAAATGTTCTAAAAAACTTGTTATCAACTTAATGTAACACCTTTATATATGACATATAATTGTTGTTTGGTTTTGTAAATTTAAGTTCTATTAAGCAGTCTATTAAGCTACTTACACATAACATGTCGTTGTTGAAAACCGATTGTTTTTTGTAGTGTTTTTAAACAACTTTTTTGCATATTTGAAAATCTGGGGTTTAACTTTATTCACATGTGAATGACATCCAGAGGACCCTTTCAAGAGCAAGAAGAAAGCAAGAAGCGAATTCGTATACGACATCACGAGTGACATGCTAATCGAGATCCTGGAAGAATCTATACGTATTTTCTGGCGATTTGTTCGTGCCGACAAGTATAGGCGACAAACACCCGTCGAGTTTCAGAAACCCGAGGATTCCCAAATCTTCATGGATCTCCAGAAAGATTTACACAAGGTTAGATCATGAAATTTCTCTGTCTTACACTATAGCAAAATCGGCTTTATATAACGCTAAACATCTCTAATTGTCAAAATGAACAGTTGTATAAGACTTAAATTATACGACTATATAAAAGTGTTACAATAAGTTTATTTGAGAAGTGTCTTAAAAATTCGTTAAGATGCCCAAAAACGTCCTAACAGCTTTATTTTCTCTTTCTAGAAAAAGTTGATACGATGCACTTTCACATAAGACTTACAGTTGTTTGGTTCTATAAACTTAAATTTTATAAAGCAGTCTATCAACATCTTATTGCAACATTTATACATATGACTGGTTTTTTCAAAACCGTACTAAAAAGATCTGTTAGCGTGTGTTCTGTCTATTGACTTATTGCAACACCTTTACACAAGACATACAATTGTTTGTTCCTATAAACTTTAAGGGGTTGTTCGTTTACCTCTTAATAGTTTCATTAAGAGGCAGCCACTGAATCGTTAAGAGGTGAATCTTGTTTAACATAAAAACAGTCTGCCTCATAATGGTTCTAAAACCCTCTGAATGATTTTGTATTCTAGGTCTTCCTTAACTATTCAGCATCCTAATTTCATTATAAACAATTATATTTCATTTTGCACTATATCATGAGAGCCTATTAATCATTCTGACCACTTGTTTGGCAATTGTTGAATGGTTTGGTGCAGAATGATTAAGAGGCTCTCATGATATAGTGCAAAATGAAATATAATTGTTTGGTAATTGTGTACAATGAAATTAGGGCTCTTAATGGTTAAGGGAGATCCAAGATACAAAATCATTCAGAGGGTTTTAGAACCATTAAGAGGCATACTTTTTTTTGCCAAACAAGATTCACCTCTTAACGATTCAGAGGTTGCCTCTTAATGGAACTATTAAGAGGTAAACAAACAACCCTTTATTATTCTGCACCAAATCATTCAGCAATCGCCAAACAACCCTAAGTCGCAAATATCAGTCTGTTAAGACTTATCTGACATCCTATAAAGCCGATAGACATCAGATACGAACCCAAATAGAATCTTGATAAGATTCTTGAAATTGCAGAAAGAGAAGAAGCTAAAAGAGCAAATGAGAAGTGGGAAATGCATACTAAAGAAGATGAAGAGAAGGTGTAGAGAAGAAGAAGAAGAGGAAATAGAAGATGAAGTTGTGTACTTTTTTTGTCAAGTAGATATGAAACTTGTGTCAAGAGTCTTGCAAATGTCAAGATTAACAAGTGACCAATTGATGTGGTGTCATAATAAACTAAGTAAACTTAGCTTTGCAAATAGGAAGATTCATGTTGAACCCTCTTTTTTGTTGTTTCCTTGTTAGATTTCAGGGGTTTTAGGGATCTGTTCTGGTTCTGATAGGGCTAATACATATGTATAACTGGTTTGTTTTGGTTCTGATAGGTGCGCCTGACATGGCATTTTCACCTTTTGGTGTTTTGGTTTCTTATTTAGGGCAATGTTTAATGAAGTCGGTTTATTCGTTGTTTTGGGGATTTTTACGGTCTTTCTTGTGCTTTTTTCATTTTGTAGAAAGGTTTTAGGGAATTTGTTGGAGATAATTCGTTTACTGTAACATCGTTATATAAGAAGCACAATTGCTTGTTATAAAACTTAAAAGTTTCGTTAACTGCTCTTTTAGGAGGCACACGATTGACTCAGCGTCCTAAAAAGGCCGTTTTGTTGTAGGCCAAAAATCTTTCCTTGACCGACTAGTCGTAAATCAGTCCCTTTAAAATCAGATCGGTCAGTCTTGGTCTAGATCGAAAATTCTACGAACAATCTAGGCCTGGTTACTTGTCCAAGGCTGGGCCCAATCTAGTTAATTTTTTAAAGTATATCTTTTACTAGAGTTGGCCAAAAACCGGTCTCGCGTTTGGTTGGGTTAGGCCCAAATCCGTCCTGGGCCCAAACAGTAACAATCCGGGTCGGTCTCGGTCCCGTTGAAAATACTAAGGCCCGGTTATGAGTACTTCTAACCGGTCCCGTCGAAAATACCAAGGTCTAATCATTTTTTTTAGATCTTGATAAAATTTTAAAAATACTTTAATTTATTCTAATACACTTTAAAATATCTAATTAGGTTAATCAAATACACTTAAAAAATACATTTCATTGTAGTTTCATAATTGGTTTTCAATCAAATACATTTAAAAATTACGTTTCATTATAGTTTTATAATTGATTTTCAATGAAATACACTTAAAAAATATGTTTTATTATAAATTATTAATTTGATTTCCAATCAAATACACTTAGAAAACTAGAAATACATATAAAAATACATTTTTTATTGAAAAAAAGATCGGGCTGGGCATTGTGTTTGGATGAAACCCATAACCAGCGGTCCCAATTGATCCCGGGCCGAACCGGTCCGAAGTCGGTCCCGATCCTGATCCTCCGTTGGACCAGGCCCATTTGACCATCTCTATTTTCTACACAAATATTATTTAGTTTTAATAATTATGATTTTTGAAATATATTTAAGTATACTTTAAGCAATATACTTATGTAGGTTAAATTTTGAAAAAAATAAAATAAAAAATGCTACAGAAAAAAACTTGAAATTCTTGTAAAATTCGTTATAATTTATAAAAACTCATTATTTATAATTTTATAATTTGTTAAATTCGTTATAATTTATAAAAGCTCATTCTTGTAAAACTGGTCCCAGTCTGGTCCTGGTCCCGGTCCGGATCAAAAACCCAAGGCCCAGTTAAGGTGGTTTGTAACTAGTTATGAGAACCGGGCCGGATCCAAATCGGTCCTATGTATTTTTTTAGATCGGTTTTTTACATAATTTTCTTTTTTTGAAGTTTTTTTAAAGAATACAAAACTGTTATTCTAATAAATTGAAAATATGTAATTGGATCAATTAAATACATTTAAAAGTACTTTTTCTTACAAGAATACGAGTCAAAATCACAAATTATAACAAGAAATGTGAACGTTTTTTAGTTGGTATTTTCCACCATACACCATATGACTTGTATATAGTTAATAGAGGGTAAATGAGACCAAAAAATGGTCAAAAATGGGATGAAATAGTCATATAGCCGTTGGGGTACCCGTATCGGTAATAAAACAATAATATTTTTGAAAAATCAGGATGGTCCCAGGCCGGTCCCATAACCGGTCCTGGGCCGAGCCTTCTTTTTTGACTAAAAGTGTAACCGGTCTCGAACTGTTGTTACCAAACCGGTCCTAAACAGTCCCGAACCGATCCAATCCTGATCCTGTTATCGGGTCGGGCCAGATCCATTTTGCTATCTCTAAATTCTCTACCCAATTGCATGACTCATATTGGGCCACAATTCTAATGAATTATCATGGCTTTTGCTTATTGCGTTATGGGCCAAGCGAAGCCCATTTAGTTGATATTAATGCGACCATGTGAGTATCTACCTACCACCAACCGGCAACCGCCGTTGTTTTATGAGGCTGACGACGGCAATGAGCCACCACCTTCCGATCATTCTAAACTTTCTATTTTTAGAAACTTTTAATAAAATAAAAATGACAATTCACCTCACACTTGTCATCTTTCCTTCCTTACGTGCCCAATCTCACCTGAAATCTGACGTCAGCACCGACCACCTCCTCTCCCTATAAATCAACCACCCCCCCACCACCACCACCACCCATCATCAAAAATGAAAGGAGTGGCGGTTGTTATGGTGGCCATGATGGCCATGGCTCTCATGGTAGCCCCAAATGAAGCAATAACTTGTAGTGATCTTTCCAGTATGTTGTCGCCATGCCTGAACTATTTAAAATCCGGTGGCTCACCGCCGCAGGCGTGTTGCGCCGGAGCTAGGAGGGTTCAGGCCGCCACCAGAAGCCAAGCGGATAGGCGGACGGTCTGTAATTGTGCTAAGAGCGCCGCCGCACAGATGAAAATCAGGCCGGACGCCGCCAGTAGTTTGCCGGGGAAGTGTAGAATCGCAACCAGTATTCCGATCAATCCTAACGTCAACTGTAACACGTGAGTTGAAATACTACATTCATCTCCAACAATTCTCTATTTTAAAAATTACAAATATAATTATATTATTAAAATATTTAATATAACACATAAAATATTATTATTTTTAATTAAACATTTAATTTAAAGCAATTTTATTGATAGAATGAATAAAAAATGGTGTATTTTTTTTATGATTTTTCATTTGTTATTTTGGTTTAGTTTAATGGATTAAATGGTGGCTGAATGGTTGCAGGATTCCTTGAGATGGGTGGTCGGAGATGGATAATGGCGGGAGGAGCTACGGCGGAGGTGTCGCCGGAATAATTAAATAAGCGATAGTTTGTTTGTTTAGGGTGTTGTACGGTTTGTGGCCCATGACTTATGTGGACTTTGCCATATATTAAATAAATCATAAATAAAATACACTTTTCTTCGTTATAATTCCGATTAAAATTATAAGATAACTATCATGTCTTGGCAAATTGTCTGGATTTGGTTTTTTTTTTTTTAACGGTTGTTAAGAAATTAATGTTAAATAAAAGGTATTTTATTGATTTCTTTTGTCTTTTACCTATTGGGACCAAAATCATACAAATGATTTGATTGCATGAAAGACAAAAGAAAATTGATAAAATGACTAAAATATCTCAAAATAACCTTTTTTTTAACGGACAAGTTGGACGGACGTTAATGTGTGGGATCAAATCCAAGATAAATTACATAGGTGGAGGATTCTTTTGTAATAAAAAAAAGATAAAGGATCAGTTTTGTAACAAATGAGAAACCTTATGTACTAAACTTGTAATTTACTAGTAAATTTGTAATGATGTTTTAAAAAGTAATCCAAACTTCAGAATAAATAATTTCTTATTTGAAAGTTTAATCTCTCTCTATTTATTGACGAAGAATCGTGTGAAATACAGAAAAAAATAAACTGTATTATAAAGTAGTAGATGAAAATTATATGATAAAATAGTAAGTAAAAATACTTTATTATTGGAATTTCGATAAAAATACAAATTTTCACCTTAAGTTGTTTGATTTGTGTAAATATCAAAAAAAAAAAAAATTACAAACTATATTAAAAAATAGTAAATGAAAATATGTTACAAACCATAAAAATTCCACTTTCCTTTTTATGGATTGTTTTTTGAATTGTTAAAGTTGCAGAAGGATTAATGTTATATTATATGAAAATATAAAAAATGAAAATTAAGAATTTGTAAATAAATTTTTAAAGTTTTTATTTGATTTTTACAAGAACAAATTATACGATTATATACATATGGTTAAAATTTATAAAATAATAAAATAAATAATATTTTATTTTTTATAATTAACAAGACTTATTACTTTTTAATTTATTGGTTTTATATTTGATTAATGTATAATATAAATAAAAATTTTAAAAAAAGTAAGAGAGAAGGAGACACATAAGAGAGAATTTTTTTTTAAAACTTTTAGGCTATTTAATGTTATTAGGGGGTGTTTGAGGTTGTTTATTTAAAATAATTTATATTTTTTTATAGAAACACTTATCAACTTATTATAAGTTAGAAGAGTTAACTTCTTTAAAAATATTTTATTACCAATTTTATATTGATATAAATTATTTATCCAAACACTCAAAAAAAATACTTATTACCAATATTTCACTCTAAAATATATCAATAAATTATTTTTATAAATAATCTTTAAAAAAAAAAAAAAAAAAAAAAAAAA